AGTTGTGGGTCTGGGATCTGCCCCAGACCAGGACAGTTCCTGGCCAGCCTTGGGCTACACAAGCTAGTCTGTGCATGGAGCCCAGAGCTAGCTGGCAGCTGTCCAAAATGGGACAGTTCCCAGGCAGCTCAGGGTCTCATGTCCAGGCTTTCCTATGTAGCCTGTGGTTGGCCAGAAACTATTCCAGTCTTCATGTGCAGCCAGGACCTGGCTGGGACCTGTCCCAGTCTCGGGCAGGTCCCACCCACCTCCAGGCTGCGCAGCAAATTCTTCCCATGCAAGCAGCTTGGTGGCCCCAGCTCTGTGATTGGAGAACAGGAAGAAATTATTCTCTACACCTGGGAGATGCCTGCTGTTCGGGACCATAACCGCCTGCCCTAGCAGCAGGGAGCTTGTAGCCCTCACTATGCAATCACGGACTGGAGGCTGGGAACTCCCCACTTCCAGGGCAAGGGGAACTTCTCCCAGCCCATGCTCTGCCACCAGCACCCACCTGGGCAGCAGGCAGCTCCTGGGGGCAGAGAGAAATCTCCTCCCAACCTGTTGCCCAGCTGACTATGAGCACATTTGCTCCCAGTAGGCTATCTACACATGCCTTGCAATGAAGTAATTACTCCGCAGTTAATCTCCTACTTGCATGTACAGGTAGTAAATTAAATGTGGAGTAGAGAAAATTACTGTGCAGTAAGTGTCTGCACATGCAGACGGTGATAAGTACACAGTAATGTGCTGTACTGTGCAGTAAAGCGTCTCATGTAGACATGACTATTGGAAAGTGCCCTGACTTCCATAAGAAGTTTAGTCACTATGGAATGGGTTCTGCTACCTAGTGAGAACAGATCTTTTTTTTTTTTTTCCAATGGAAAAAAACTGTTCAATCTGGCATTTTCTAACTGTAAATGCTCTAAGTGTCAAGTATATCAGTGCGAGTGGGGCTTTGTCGCAGCACAGTGCAGAGGACATCAGGTCTGTGGATCTCAGCTGCAGACACTGTTGGTCTGTTCTGATGTTTCAGTCACTCAGCTGCACCAAGAGAAGGAAAACCTCACCCAGCAGCTGATGTCCTGCCCAGACTCACCGCCAGGCCCACCTGACACTCTTTGGGGGCAGACTCTTGACAAAAGTAAGTCATTGGGTAGGAGCTGCTATATGTCCTCAGGGCACAGACGGCAGACCCAAGCCTGTATGTGAGGCTGTCCTGGCCCCGCAGAGTGGTGTCCCACCTCCTACAGGTGTGTTGGCCTTGGCTGAACTATCCACACCTGCCATGAGGTCCCCTCTGCAGGGCAGCTTTAGGGGATGGAGACTACTCACTGCTTCCTTCCTCAGACTAGTCCAATCCACTTTCCTCCCATTCCAGTTTAGGACAGCCCACAGCTTCCTTCAAAGGTCTTCCCACTCACTCCTTTCCTAGCCCCGAAGGTGGCAGCTCACTCAGAGATTTCTGACAAGCACCTTCTCACAGGTGCCTGCAGAGCAGCAAACCAAAACTGCCCATGGAGCCGGGCCACAGCAATGAGCAGCCCAACTCCAGCCGGTGTTTCATAAGTGTCCACAACAAATGCTGTGATATGACACAAATTAAAGGTTTTGGTTGCCTAGTCTGGCTACCTTTTTGAAATGTAAGATAACTGGGAAGAAATGTATGTATAATGGAAAGTTTAGAAATGGGGATGAAATGCTTAGAAATTTAGCAAACTAAATGACCTAGTTTTAAACAGGTTTTTATAGGGTTAGGGTTTTGCTTTAATGGAAATTTTCAAAATGTTGCCTTTTCAGGATTCAGGACAACGAAATCTTCTTTACTTTCACAACTTGTGGTGGGGGGAGAGACCTTTCTCCCTACAGCTGTTGCTGTGCACATCCTGTTCCAAGACATTCTCCTGTTAGACAGGGTGTGATGTTCCTGCCTATTGGCCACCACTCCCTTCTGGAAACGAGACCAAACTCCCCAGATGAGTTGGGTCTCAGGAGATCAGTCTGGCTTGGCCAAGATGACAATGATTGTAAGGCCCCTCACTCACATATACAGCTGTGGAAGCCAGTTCCTGATGCTTTTGCATGGAAACAGCCATCCCTTGAGAGTAAGGGTCATCCTCCTTCAGGTATGTGGGGCAGAAGCTGCGCCTCCAAACTCTGTAGGGCCCATGAGACACAAGTAGTGGAGGTGGAAGGACACAAAAGGGGGGAAATCCTTCTGTTCCTGAGAACAAAATGGCCAACTCAGGGCAATGGGGGAATGTGATGAGCTGATCTGTGCTGTGTGTTTGTTCCAGGGATGAAGTGTCCAGCGCTGTGGATTGCAAACCAGGACAGGTCCTACCTGTTTTCTCCTGAAAAAGGAACTTGGGACCAGTGTAAATCTTCTTGCATTTCTGAATATGCCAAACTGCTCAAGATAAAGAGAGAAGAAGAGCTGGTGAGCATGTGTTTCGTTTAAAATATCAATACAACGTGACCATGTGAATGCAGCCAGGAGGGAGTCAGGCTCTAGGGCTGCATTTCCTGGCACAGCTTTAGCTGGGATGGGGTGGGGAAGGATGGTGAGGAAAGGATTCAGTGAGGGGTTTATCTATATGCCCACATGTGTTCCATATATTTCCAAACTACCGTCTGCATGTCTGTAGCCATTTGTCTAATCCTACAGTGTTACCTGCAGTATGTTGGAGAACTCACCTGGCCAGAATGGCACTTGCTCTTATGCAGGTGCAGGCTATCAAGTTTTCTACTGCAGGTAACTCTGCACTGAGGCTTGTGGTTATACCATAGCGCTCTGCTGGTGCTCTCCACACGGCTGAGAGAACTTACTTCCATTCCTTCTGATCTTTTCTGCTGCGGGATTTCATAACTGCAACATTTTTCCAATACACTGAAAATCGTGGAAGTGGTGTATACTACTACCCATTCTGGACTGGATTGTCATACAACTCCAGAACAGGGATGTGGGTCTGGGCGGACAATTCAGCTCTCTCCTCTAGCCTGCAAGTCTGTGTCACTAGGGCTGTAGTTCCCAAACTTTTGATCCCTGGGGCACACTTTAAAAAAAAATAAATGGGCAGCACATTAATCTCTTACACCCAAGAAGCTGTGTTTGTCCATGTGCATGTGTGTGTGCAAGACCCAGATTCAAATATATAAAAGATACTATTTCCTTGTGAGAAGAAAGCATACCAGTGCTGAGATGGGTTGTTAAAAAAATGACTTGCTCCCTGCTTTTCCATGGTGTTCACCTCAGGGGGTAAGGTCAGCCTCTGGTGTTGAGGCTGCATCCTGCAGTGTCTTACATGCCAACGACTACCCACTTGGCACCTCATGCTGGCCTCAGGAGTGCTGGAGGGGTTGAGGGGATGAGCTGTTCTGCTTAAATGTAGCAGAACATACTGCTCAGAGCATGGCATGGAGGGGATGTGGGCTGCACAGGCACAGGGGCTGCCTGCTAGTAGGGAATGGTTGGGAAAGGCAGCAGCAGCAGTGACAGTCCTCAGAGTAGAAACTGCAGGCACTGCTGGTGTAGCTCTCCTCAGCCCTGCACCAAAGTGCAGCACTTGCACCCGGGTGTAATTTCCCCTGGTGAATATTACTGCCACCATGCAAGTTCCCATACCCCGGCTGGGGCTACTGACATACAACAGCACAAGGATGGGACAGGGTCATGACAAGGGATCCTGGATTTCTCTGTTTTAAAATCGCAAATTCTGTGATCAAAATCCCAAATGTTCTGATTAAAACCTCAAAATCCACATTTTTTTTCTGAGATTACAATGAAACACTATGTATCAACTGAACACAATGTTTTATTGATATACTTACAATTTTAAAGCAATTTCGAAACCTACCAGTGCCTCAATCAGTATAATAAAATAAATTCTAAATACCTATATATTTCGATGATTGATTTAGGGTTTTTTCCCATGGAACATCAGAGCTCTCCCTGCCTCTTTCGCTCACTGGACATGGGTCCATTTGTGGCCTATCCATGCCCTCCCCATCCCTGCTTTATGGTGCTGATCAGCCCTGATATGCCTGTGCTCTGCCTATGCCATTGCCCCTCACTCCCAAGCGACAGCCCCCCAGCCCTGCCAATGCCCCTCACTCCCCACCCACAGCCCCTCTAGTGCCCCTCACTTGTTACCCACAGCACCCTGGCCCCCGAGCCTTGCTGGAGGGGGCTCCCAGCTGCCAGAGTGACAGGGTTCATGGGAGACAGCAGCTGCTGTGGCCACAGCGGAGCGCAGAGCCCAGCTCCCTCTTCCCATGGGTGGCACGGTTGGAGCAGAGCCTGCAGGGCGGGGTGAATGTGGGCTGCCCACTGCAGGCTTGGGCCTCCCCTCCCAACTTCCCTCCCCATGGGGGCCTTTGTGGCGCAGCAGGCAAGACCCAGCAAAGACAGGCAGTGCAGTGTGGGGAGGTTTGGTGCCACCACCAGGAGCCCTGTGCAAAGAGTCCCCTGCCCACTCAGCATTAGAGGACCCCCAAATGCCGCTGCCACTGTACAGGCCCCCCACAACCCAGCTGGGACTAGTGACTGTGTCCAACAGTGCAGGGATGGAGCAGGGTCATGACATTTCCTTTCTGCCCTTAACTTACTTTTCTCTCCACTCTAATGCAATTTCCTATGTCTGTTGCAGATCAATATACCATAATATGGGGTAGCCATTTCAGATTGTTCAAGAGGTGATAGTGTTAAATCATAGATGTGGGAGGTGCGTTTTTGGGACAGGGAAGATTGCTGCATCACAGGTGCATCATATGTTAAAGAGCCGTATCAGACATACATGTATCCCATGGATACTACCAAAGCCAGCCTGCTGTGAGTGCTAGAAATCAGGGAGAACACCTAGCGCTGTGTCCTGACACCGAAAATCAGAATAGACCTGACTACCTTGTGGCTCTGCCTTCCAGGTTTGTGCTCTCAGACCCCAGTCCTCAGAATTATCCGGGTGGAGCTTGTGCATATTTGCAAGGTGATAAAGTGAAACCTGGAGACTGTGGAGAACTTCGATTCTGCCTTTGTGAGAAGAAGAAGGAAGCACAAGGAAAAAAAAAAGTTGATTGACCCACCAGATAGATGCTGTGGTGCGGACTGACCAAAGAGACTGCTTCAGCTGAAAGTGTAGCATGGAGCTCAGGAGAGGAAATGGATGCATCACCAGAAATCCACAAATCTTGTGCTACTGTTTGAAAGGAGAACAGCAGGGTCATAAAATGCATCTTGGGTCAGTGTAGCTGCTATCCTTGGCTGTCTGCTAAGCCACATAGATGCAAAAAAGCCTGAACCCCTTCTGCCCTCTCTTTCGGTTCATGCCAGTTTTAGTTGGCAACAATCTCTTTCCCCCGCAGCCAAACTGCATCTGCTGGAGCCAGCAGAGAGGGGATACTTCTACCTTCATTACATCCATGTATCTTCTTTACTGTAACCTGTAATGGGCTTTCGTGGTAGCTTGGTAACACATATGGCGAACAAGAATTTCCAGGGAAAAGTGGTGTGTACAGCCATTGTGGGCACCACCAGCCCACGGATATCAGAGATGGAGAAACACCCATTATCTCCCAGTGACTGCTCATGCACAGGCACTGATATCTCCTGTTGTGTACAAGGCAGGATATGCTTCTGCCCTACAGCAGGACCCCTAATGTCTGGAGTTTCCACCACTACCCCGGGGAGGCTCCATATTTTCCATTTGATACAGGAATTTCACCTTGATTCTCAAAACAAACCATCTCCCACCACTCACATGTCCTTCTCCTTGAGTAATGTGTGGGGTGTGTCAGGAACAGGTCATGCGTGGCTTTGTGGTTTCTTTGGGGTAAGGGCAGGTCCATACTCTACCCGGGTCTCCCCATCTGGGGATGAAGAAATGCCTGTAGCAGAGCAAATAGCAGTGGCCCAGTCTCCTGGGCCAGGGCACCTTGATCCCATTTGCTGGGCAAAAGTTGAGTAGGGCCTAGGGAGTTCGTGCTGAGCCCTGGACAGGGGTAAAGATGGTTCCTCCGTGCACCTAAGGGAGTTGGATCTCAGTTAGACCCTCTCTGTCCTCCATCCTCCAAATGCAGTGTTGGTGCCCAGGAAGCTGCTGGTCACAGTGAACAATGAAAGGTGAACAATGAAAATAGGATGTGATGAATGGCGGGGCTCTTTACTCAAACCATTCCCCCACAGCCAGCGCCACAGCAACGCTGAGCTGGAGGAGAGGCCCTGAGAGTATGTCAAAGGCTTGTGGCCAGTACATTCAAACACAGCAGTCGTCTCTACACATCGTCATATGGCAACATTAGTAGTGAACCATGTTTTAGTACTTGGTTGGGGGAAGTACTAAAACACGGTGCAGTAGCCCCCCCGCGCTGTGGCATATGGGCAGCACATGGTTAGATTCACCAGGTACATCGCCATAGCGGTGCGCTATAGCAGGGCAGCATGCCACTACGGCGACACAGCTGGCCATCACGTGTAGACCCACGTGATTGCTAGGCCACCGTAGTGAGCTGAACAATGATGCAATGCATCACTAGATCACCATAGGGCGATGTGTAGATGTGCCCAGTATTTACAGTTCAGCTCCCAAACAGGGACTCAGGCCCCACTGTCACCATCACCCTTCACAAATGCTGATCAGGGTGAGTCCTATGGATCTCAGCCTCTCATCCACACCAGTCCCTACGGCTTCAGGACCTGGGTTTTCTTCAGGCAGGCTGAGGGAATTAAACTCACTGAGTCCATGATAGAGCGATGGGTATTGCTTACTACTGTCCATTAAAACCTATGGAAAGTGTTATCTAAGAGTGCTCTTGTCTCCCACACTCGTGTGTTACCGCTTCACCATTTCTTGCTGCTCCCCCAGGTCTGTACAGCATCCCCCAGCCCCTCCCCTCCGCTCTCATGCACTCAGTGTAGGTCCTGGCCTTGTGCACACCTTGTGCAAGAGCAGCACATCTCCAAGCACCAGCAAGGGCTTCCTGTGTGATTTGTACAGCGACAATGGAGAACATCAGGAGGGTAATTTTGGGACAGTGCTAAAAAATGTGAGACTGTAGGGCCCCTTTATTTACTCAGCATGGGAATGGAGACCCTTCTGGAAACCACATTCAGGAACACGAGAGGGGAGAAAAGAATATTATGCAAGTTGGATTCCTGGAGCTGTGTCGGAAGGACCAAAGGTTTCCTTTAGCCATGTTTCTTGAGGAAACAAAACTGAAAACACCCCATCTGGTAAATATGACATGATGATGCAGGGATCTTGTGCTAGTAGATTCTCACCCATCCATTAAAGCTTTGAGTTGAAAAATACCTTTGATCTTTCTGCTGGGACATTGCTTCAGGTTCCCCTGCTGTCAGTGCCACAAGCAGGGAGACCTCCCAGTTCTCGCCTGACGTGAAGGGGCTGCTCAGGAGGATAGACATGAACACGTATCTATCATTTTTCATCCCAGGTGAACTTTCCTGAGCTTCAGTTATCAGAATTATCAGGTTGGAGTTTGTGTGTATTTACAAGGTGTGAAAGTTCAAGCTGGAGGCATGGAGAAACTCAAGTCTGCATTTGTGAGAGAAAGAAGGGGAAAAAATGAACTGGATCAAGCCACCAGAGAGATGATGCAGTTGGAGCTGATCCAGGAGATGCCTGCTGATGAAAGGGCATTTGGAAGTATTGGAGAGACAATGGTTAGATGAGCAAAAATCGGTGCCCAGGAAGTTGCTGGTCACAATGCTGGGGATGCTGCTGCTGTGGTTGCTCTGGAGGGTGAACAATGAAAAGACGATGTGATGAATGGAGGGGCTCTTTTCTCAAACCCTTCCCCTGCAGCCAGCACCACAGCAGTGCTGAGCTGGAGGAGAGGCCCTGAGAGTGTTATGTCAAAGGCTTGTGGCCAGTACATTCAAACACAGCGCTCGTCTCTACACATCGTCCTATGGCATAGTAGTGCACTACGTTTTAGTACTTGGTTGGGGGAAGTACTAAAAAATGGTGCAGTAGCCCCCCGTGCTGTGGCATATGGGCAGCACATGGTTAGATTCACCAGGTACATCGCCATAGCGGTACGCTATAGTAGGGCAGCATGCCACTACGGCGACACAGCTGGCATTGCTGTTTCCCCAGGTCTGTACAGCATCCCCCAGCCCCTCCCCTCAGCTCCCATGCACTCAGTGCAGGTCCTGGCCCTGTGCACACCTTCTGCAAGAACAGCACATCTCAGAGCCCCAGCAAGGGCTTCCCGTGTGATTGGAACAGGGACAATGGAGAACATCAGGAGGGAAATTTTGGGAGAGTGCTGAAAATGTGAGACTGTAGGGCCCCTTTATTTACCCAGCATGGGAATGGAGACCCTTCTGGAAACCACATTCAGGAACACGAGAGGGGAGAAAAGAATATTATGCAAGCTGGATTGCTGGAGCTGTGTCGGAAAGACCAAAGGTTTCCTTTAGCCATGTTTCTTGAGGAAACAAAACTGAAAACACCCCATCTGGTAAATATGACATGATGATGCAGGGATCTTGTGCTAGTAGATTCTCACCCATCCATTAAAGCTTTGAGTTGAAAAATACCTTTGATCTTTCTGCTGGGACATTGCTTCAGGTTCCCCTGCTGTCAGTGCCACAAGCAGGGAGACCTCCCAGTTCTCGCCTGACGTGAAGGGGCTGCTCAGGAGGATAGACATGAACACGTATCTATCATTTTTCATCCCAGGTGAACTTTCCTGAGCTTCAGTTATCAGAATTATCAGGTTGGAGTTTGCGTGTATTTACAAGATGTGAAAGTTCAACCTGGAGGCATGGAGAAACTCAAGTCTGCATTTGTGAGAGAAAGAAGGAAACAGAAGGGAAAAAAATGAACTGGAACAAGCCACCAGAGAGATGGTGCAGTTGGAGCTGATCCAGGAGATGCCTGCTGATGAAAGGGCATTTGGAAGTTTTGGAGAGACAATGGTTAGATGAGCAAAAATCCACAGAACTTTTTTGCCATTTGCAGGGAAAAAAGGAAAAACTTGGACTACATCATGGGACATCCTTTGGCTGCCAGCCTGGGACAGTCTGAGAAGCCACAGACTCAGACAAACCTGAATTCTTTCTGCATCTATTATTTCATGCATGTGCCAGCACTCTCTCCACTCCCCACAGCCCAGCTACCTCCCCTGCTGTCAGCAGAAATGGGATTTTCTGCCCTCACTGCATCCCCAGATGATCTTCCCTTGGCCCTGCAATGGGTTTTGATTCTGTTTTGGCAATGACACGGGCCTATAGGCAGTTCCAAAAACTAATGCTGTGTCGGTTCTGGGACCAGTCATAGGTGAAGGGAACCATGTTCAGGCAGAGAGGAGGCTGCCTGGGGTGTGAGTGGAAAAAGGCAGGATTTTTGCTGTGGGTAGCTGGAGGCGGAGGTGCTATGTGACAGCTGTGGCAGAAATGCCACCGTCGGTGCCCCTCTCCAGAGATCTGTCTCAGCCAGCCTGAGAGGCTGCTGTTGAATCCCTCACAGCGGGGATCTCCCACCTTGTCTGCAGACAAAAGCCTGGCGCCTGGGAGGCGATGCTCTGGTCACCTGGGCAGGGGGGGGAAAGACCCGGCCCTGTGCGCGGGCCCAGGTAGCCAGGGATGCCATGCAGATTGGTTGGTTTGTAGCCAGTATTGGCAGCTTCGATTGGACCGG